GTGTGTGTGTGTGTGTGTGTGTGTGTGTGTGTGTGTTTACCCTCTGGGCCTTGGTGAGCTCCTCCTTCAGCCTCTCGTATCCTTTCTCTCTGACCTCCATCACTGACGGGCTTCGCAGCCGTGACAGGCTGTCGCTCAGCGCGCTGCACTCCTCCCCGTCCTCTCCGGACAGGAAGTTGCCCTCTGCGGACTCCGGCTCCAGGCCTGGCACACTGTGCATCGTCACCATGGAAACAACAGCGGTCAGTTAGGGATTACAGCTGATTGGAGGAAAAAGTTGACTACCGTGTTTACACATGCAAAGATCTTGTTTCTCGTTTACTTCACAGTTTGAATCAGTTCTGCCTCAAACTAAGTAAATGACAAAATAAACGATTTCTGCTGAAGTGAATCTTATTAATGTAAAAACTTGTTATGTTACATGATCAAAGTCTGGAGAAGCTCTGTGTTCTCTTACCTTCCATTGTGGCTGTGCCGCGGTGTGGAGTAAACGGGCTGCGTGGGGAGCTGATCAGCTCGCAGGGAGGCGGGGCGGCCAGGAGGGGGCGCTCCTAGAGAGTGGGTGCGGTACAGAGAGGTGGGCGGGGCGCTGTGACGAGCAGGGGGGCGCTGCTGCTCCGCTTGGTTCTGAAAGACGGCGGGAAAACGGAAATAAGAAAGTCGGTGACGGTTAGCAGGGAGACAAACGAACTCGAGTTCTGTTCACGACAGATCTGAAACAAACGTTTGACCCCTGACCTACCTGAAGATCAGGTGTGGTGGGCGAGGCCAAGTTCACCTCGTGGAACCCCTCCAGAGTTTCTGCATTGCTCTGACGGCTGCTGCAGGCCATAGCAGCTGCTCTCAGACATCATACACTCTGCAGACACACGTGTTAATGAGCGCAGCTCAGACACGCTCAGAATAAAACCTGCGATTGTGAAAGTGTGTGTGTGTGTGTGGTTAATGCACCATGGTGCAGCTGCAGATGGAGCGGCTGGGAGGATCGATGGAGGCTTCAGTGAAAACCAGGAGGATTTACGAGACTCAGCAAAAAAGTTCACAGGTAAAAACTCTTGTTCTAAACCTGCAAGAAAGAGAAAGAACGAGGTTTTATTTGTTGCCTCACAGGGATGATTTTACACTTACTCTGTTCTCACAATGAATCTGTATTTTGCTGCATTTAAACTCCCCAATTCTATTTGCCAATCATGTTTTTAAAGTCTCAAAGTTCTAAGAAAGTTCTACTATAGAAACATGTTTTTATGAAAACAGTTCAGTTTTATTGAAGATTAAAGATTCGAGACGATGTTTTTCATCATTAGTCATGTTTGGTTGTGTCAAGGCTCAAACCAGCTGTTGAGCTCGGCCTCGGACTGATGTCACCGTCAATATTGATTAGTGATGTCAGTCCAAAAAATCCAATCCTGTGGCTGATCTGTTTGCTTTCAGACCACAGATGAAGTGGAACAGAATCCGTTTTGATGGGGTTTCTCTCTGTGGTCGTTTGTCTGCAGCTTCACTGACATTGTTCCCAAGACTTCACACAACCACACATGAACTGTGCAAACCATGAAAACACAGCAGGGTTCAAATCAAACCTGACAAAGAGACGCACTCGATCCATCGACCTCGTAAATAACAACAACCCAGCGTTTTTCTGTATTAGCCGTTAGCTCACATAAGCTGTTTTCAGACCTGCTCTGAAGTCTGGACATTCCACTGAAATTGACTTTGGCTGTAAACTTTGTATAAATGACAATAAAAGTTAACTTGATAATAAAATCTGAACTTGTGTAAGAATCCTGCCTCCTCTGTCACCTCCTCCTGCAGCTTTATGATCCGTTCATGGACTGGACTCTACTTTCTCGGTCTAACAGGAGTGACTGACAACTCATCAGGGAACAAAGCATCAGGTCTGTTTTCATACCAGAGATCCATTCATCATCATCTTCATCGTCATCGTCATCATCAACACTTCTTAAAATAGTCCGTGAGCGATTCTCTGCCTCGAGTTAACCGTCCTTTTGTTTTGTCTACCTCAGCTGAGCAGAGTGAGGAACATCACACTGGTCCAACCTGTCAGCACACTGGGTTTCTAGGTGTGTGTGTGTGTGTGTTAGTGTGTAAAGTGGGTGTGTCCTGCACTGAGTAAACATACGAAAAGTGAATTCTTCCTGTTGAAGACAAATGAAGCTGGTTTGAAACTTTACGTCACCACCTCAGGTTATTTACAGGAGCAACGAGGTCTGTGCGTGTTTTTAATATCAGTATCATTGCGTCACAGTTTCACCTCCTTCTGTTAATAAGTGTCACTGATCGTCTTCATCCAGAAACTTTCGAAAATATCCTTTTGACTTCAATATTTTATAAACTAAACACTGATTAAAAAAAATGAATCCGCAGATTAAAGACTTTAAACTTTTTAACAATATTCACTTAACTATCAAAACAAGTAACAATCCATCAAATCTTTCTTTTTGAGAAACTGGAAGTAACATTTCTTTGCTGACGATATTATTTCATTGCCAAAATGTTTAACTATATTTGCAAACTTCCTAAAAGCCGTTAGCGTGTACTCACTGAACAGGGCTCCCAAACTTTTACATGTGCACATCGCACCGGTCAGTCAAACCCAGGTGAAACCCCACCCGCCTCAAACTAACCAACCCCTCTGACCGTCTCCATGGAGACCAGTCCCGGAGAGCCCATGGTAACCCATCACGCTGAGGGATGCTGGGTAAGGATCCAGTTACTCCGGACGTCTGGTAAAACCCTAATCCTGTGTCGTCACGCGCCGCCGACATCGACTCAAACAACGAGAATAACGTGCAAACAACTAAAGTCAGAGGGAAACAATTCACAATTCTAATCAGTTGTTTCCACTTTGATCATCATGGATATTTTCTAAAATGCATATAAATAAGACTAAGAGCAATAATTTACATTCACCAGCAATTAACTGCACATTACAGACTCGTGTTTTAAGAATTGTGGCCGATAAATGATGGAGACCGACGGTGCAGTTCCCTGAGGATTCAACACGCGACCGTGACGCCCTGATCTAATTTATCGCTCTGAACTTCTGTGAAATAGAAACCACGGAAATAATCACAACTTTTACCTCATTTGTGGCGGACGGAAAAAAAAAACTGGAACCAGCAAATATTACAAACTGATTTCAGACAAACCGTCACATCTGAAGACGTCACTCGGGCTTTTGGAAACTTTGACATGCGTTTCTCATTCTCATTTAGATATTTAAAAACTAACCCAGTTGTTATAATTAAAATAATCATCGGCTAAATCAGATAAATGTGGTAATTATTGGTTGCAGCTTTACGGTGATCACAGTATTACGCAGCGTGAGGTGCAGATCTAATGTGCTGCACTTTATTTTCCATGACTTTATTTTAATCGTCACCGTCTTTTGTTTTTCTGATTCAGGAAAATATGATGAACTAAGTCTTTTGGAAGATGACGATGAGCAAACAGAACGAGGATTTCAGAGCTTTTAAAACACACTGAAAGTTTGAAACCTGAGACTGAGCCCGTCCACATGACGTCAACACTGACTGCTGGTGAAGCTGTTAAACCTTCGTCTGAAGACAAAGTTTCATAACTGGGATCATATGATTTTAAATTCATTCGAGGACAGAAACCACAGATTACAAAAGTACAAAGTCCTGCATTTAAAAGTACAAACGTATCATCAGGGAACTGCCAATGCAGTAAAATGAGAGTTTTACTATCAGATGTCATCAGTAATTCTTTCTCGTGCTTTAATAATCCTCAGTATTTCACTGTTATAGTTTCTTGATAGTTTGAAATCATCTTTAGATTATTTTTCTTGATTCAGGATTTCTACAGAATTACAAATATAATATTTCTTTTTACTCAATAGCAGTTTTTTTTGTCTGGGCCTCAGTTGGTGCTGCAGTACGTCCTCTGACGTGTAATGGAGTATAAGTACTCGGTGATGTAACTGAAATACTCGAGTACACCGCAGTACTTGGTTGCTTCAGGTGACAGCTAGCTGAAGTTAGCACTGGGTTCACTACGGTTAGCATGTGTGGAGCTAACGATGCTAGCAGCTCCTGGGCGTCAGGGGGCGTGTGGAGGCTCCGGGGATTAAAAACAAACACCCGGGGTGTTGAGTGACAGCGGCCGCATGAAAGATGCATGTCGGCGGCGTCTCTTCGCCGCGGGTCGGCTTCGGGTTTTCGGCTAACGGCCATTTAAATGTCGAGGCTAACGTTAGCTTAGCAACATCGTCCGCCTCACACAGAGGAGACTTTAGCACCTGTGCTAGCGGCGGCAGTCACGTGAGGGTCACGGGAGAAAACAAACAAACAAATAAAACAAACAACAACAAATATTATTGTTTCTTTCAAATGAACGAGAGACATTTTTCTCAGCGCCTCGCGCCCCGAGGCTAGCGATGACAACCCTGCTTCCATTATCGGCCAACTCGCGGGTCCCGGCCGCATTGAGCCACAGTCATGAATGTAACCGAAAACAGGAGTTAGATCCCGGATTCATGTGGCTGCAGTTACCCGTAGTGTGATCCAGCACCGGCGGGCTGAGCGTGCAGCCGCAGCCCGGGACAAGGAGCGACAGAAACAGACGGGTCAGTGTCCGATAATGGACTTATAGCTGAACGCAGCTAAGCTAACTAGCATCATTAGCAAGTTGTCTTGAACTCCTCTGAGGATGACGGACAGCAGCACCGACGGTACCGGGTCGGTAGATGTGGACTCACCGGAGCTCTGAGCAGCAGCAGCAGCGGAACCGGAACCGACAAATAAACATAAATAAACAAATAAATAAACAACAAACAAGAAGACGGAGCGGAGCTGGTGACGCAGGTCCGACTGACGGAGCTGCGTTCACGGACCACCGGGAAACCAGAGCTTCACCTCTTTGGTTTTATAGGACAACGGAGACACAACCACATAAACACACAACACAACAACTAGGACTATTTGTACATCATCAAATACAATCAAACAATAATTATTAAAGTACGGGAAATATTTCACCAACAACATGAAATGAAATGATGTACTGTGTTTAATTAGCTTTATAGTTGTATGAAGGAAACAAACGACAAAGTCTGTTGGTAACAGCAAAAATTAAAAACTTCATTTTATCATGTTGCACATTTCATGATGATGATAAAATAAAATAATAATATTTAACACTGGTAGAAAAATATATGGAAATAAAACTCTTATCGTAAGTTGCCTTGGACAAAAAAGCGTCTGCTAAATGTAAATGTGAAACTCAGTAAGAAAAACGTGATGAAACAATAAACCAGTAGATAATCCTCCGACAGAGCTTTAAATATTATAATTAATAATAGAGAGGCTCACCAACCGGTCGATGTCATCAGATATGATTTTTGGCGATAAATAAATACATAGAATTGAAAAAAAAAACTACAGAATAAGAGCCCTGAATAATAATAATAAAATGACGTTAAAATGTTAAGTGTGTAGATTTGACTCGTGTATTTTAAACACGTTTCTTTACTCATGTCACAGAAAGAGGGAATTAGCTACCAGGCTGCAGCCAGCAGGGGGCGCCCATTACAAACAAATAAGAGTGAGTGAAGTCCTTTAATTCATTTTTTTAAAAACTCATTATAAAGTATTTAAGTTATAGATTTCTTATGATTTCAGAACATTCTCTGATGTTGGTAAAAGTATTTGTCAGATGTATGGTTTTATCTCAGCTGTGTTACAGGTTTGTTGTTTTGTCCATTTGTGATTTAAAGATCCCCAGAATATTATTTTCAAGGCAAATAAAACAAAATAATTTCTAACCTTATTCCAGATCACAAATATGTAATAAATTCAGTGGTTCTCCTCTCTTCCATCTGTTTTTGATCAATGAGTGAAACTAGAATATGAATCATGCACAGTAAGAATAAGGTTCGTGTCCGTCACATACATATTCACCTGTTTATCAGAAGATAAGAAAACTGGGAAATACTTTATTCAACAGGAGGTAAATTCAAAAGTATTCCTACACAATCTCCAGAGAAGTTTCCTGGAAAGAACTGAGGTCTGGCGGCAATTATAGTTATACACCCAAATGAAACTCACAGGTGTGTGTGTGCGTGTGTGAGAGAGAGAGAGAGAGAGAAAACTTTCCACTGTGTCACTATAATCACCTCCCAACATATGAACACTTGTTCACACACTTGAATGAATCTCTCTCTCTCTCTCTCTCTCTCACAAACACACAGATGTGGGTGGAGTCTGGCGCTGGGTTAAAAGTGGAGCACACTGCTCACTTGGTGTCTTTACGCACAGAGTTCAGCTCAGAGGAACAAAACCACAGGACTCTACTTTTTACGACTGAGTCACAGATTAACTTCTTTTATCTGAAGGAGCAAACGACGGAGGACGTGTCGATGATCAGGTGACGGATGAGCGGAGTTGTTGGTGAGTCCTGAATGAAAATAATATCTCTGCTATAATCCTGCAGATACTTCTACAAACTTTCTACTACGATATACGTCATTGCAAATATACAGTATAGTATAGTATAAGTATATAAGAGAATGTGATGCTGTATATTGTGTGTACAGTATTATATATCATTATACACACAGAAATACGTAATAAATATACTGCAATATTTTTGAAATGTTTAATATGAGGTGTTTTCTTAATATTGCATATTTCAGTATTTTTTATGTTCCAAAAGGTACTGCATATACTAAACTATACACTGCATATATATACAACATATTTATATGTGTCAAACATCTACAATAAATATCATTCTGACTGTTCGGCTATAAAAAATATTTTATGGATTATTGCAAAATATAAAAGTAGAAATAAGTGTTTTGTTTTGAAGGAAACTCCAAAGATCTGTAAAAAAAAATGTTTTAGTTTCAGTAATGAAACTTCTCAGCTTCATCTAATCAGAAGTAGAAATAACATTGCTGCTGTTCAAATATTCAACACGTTTCCTTTTCCTCTGAGGTTTTAATCAGAGCAGCGGAAAGAGGAATGTTGGTTTGCTTTCAGGCTGAGGAGCCGGTTTTACAGCTCAACCAGTTCCAGAGTTACTCGTCCTTCAGGTGTGACTGTGACGAGATACTGCAGCGTGCACTTTTAGTACATGTACTTTCTATTCCACTTCATTTCTGAGAGAAATATTCTACTTTTGACTTTACGACATGATTTTAAATAAAGAGACGATAAAACTTTCCAAAAACGTTATAAAAATAAATGTTTGAGTCCGAAAGTGGAAGCAAAACAGAGAATAAATAAGAATCCATGAAATGAAATAACTTTTTAATAATCATAACCTTGTTTTTTCTTCTTTTTGTTTTACTGATGACTCTTTAGTTTGCTGCTTCGGTTCCTTTCATAATAAAATCACATATTCCCCCTCATCACAGTTCGACCTTGAATAACCTCTGCTCTTTCCTCCGTTTCATTTTCCAGACTCACAGATTCGATGATTCTTCAGAGCGAGTCCAGATGTGATCCAGGTTTCGTTCCACCGTCGCCCACAAACACCGGACCCTCCATGAGCTGACCTCTGACCTTTGCACCATGGACGCCACTCTGCAGGCAAACCCTCGGTCCCACTACGAGGTCAATGGCGGAGCTGGAAGAAACTCCAGACCTGGTGTGAGTATCTGAGAAACATCAGAGGTGATCAGCTCGAGACGAGACGGGGGTCTAAGATTCAGCCGATACACGTAATCGACCAGTCAGACAGTTTAATTATTACAGTATAAATGTCCCCTGATGCGTCCATCTTTATTTACAGTCATTGTTGAATGAAGCTTTGAATGTTTGGAAAGAAAATCTAATTGGTGTATTACCCAGAATGCCAAGCTTCTCACTACACTTCTACAACGATGGAGTAAATATGAGTCATGAGGTCAAACTGCTGCATCATCACGGCTCCGTACAGATGCAGCATCACAGGAGGATTCGTTCTGATGTTTTCATAAACACACTGATGATCGGCTGATTATTCAAACGGCTCTTCGCCTGACGGAGGCTCTGCCGTGTTTACATGATGCAACGTTCATTACTTCACCTGCTCAACACCTCGATCCCTGCCACTGCCTCGACGATGACAATTCACCACCAACACACAACACGGCCGAACCGGTCGAGCTGCAGTTTTCTTGCTCCGCGACAATAAGCAGCATTCACTCCGACTGAAACCAGCACGGCGGATGTTTATCTGGCGTTGGTTTCAGTTGGGTGTTGCTGCAGGTGACTCTGAGCAACAACCAGCAACAAACCAACCACGAGCTGAAGGTCATCACCTTGAAAAAGCTTTAATAAGCAGCTTTAATAAGCAGCTTCTCTCGCTGCGGCGGCTGCGTGATTACAGTCAAACATGAGCAGGGATCAAAACACTGGTGAAAAAGAATTTAGAGTTCAGACACCTGCAGGCTGAGACTGTGACCGACAAAGGAAAGTCTCGTTAACAGTCGTTTGAAATCTTAACTTCAACCAGGTAACGAAACAAGATGATTTGAGTTCAGTTACTGAGCTGAAATAATTATTTACACTTTATTGACACAAACTCACCGAGCCGCTGTGCTGAGTTCTAGGAGAGATCCAGATCTATTGTTCATCCTGATTTCCTCATTCCTCATGTTTCTGCCACGGCCCTGAAATCTCATCACACACACCAACAGACTTCAGTTCCCTGAATGTGTCTGATTCTTTTTTTCAACCAATATTCATGAATCATTCTCAGAGAAATCAATGAAAATGTCACAAAACAGCCTCTCGCAGAGTTAAGGTGAAGCTTTGTTTGTGAACTGGATCGTTATCACGGCAACGAGAACAAAAACCCACCACAGAGTGAAGAAAATCAGCTGTGACGTTGTGTTGTTACTGGATACGACTCATTGTGTTGTTAGTCTGTGGCAGCACTGTGAAGCAGGACAGGTAACTGTGGAGGTGAAGCCATGGGGGGGGGGGGACACACAGAAGAGAGGGAGCATTTGAGCTAAATATAGTGTGGGAGAGGAGTTCAGAGGATTGGGACGAAGGAACAAACAGACCTGTGTGAGAAAGTTGTGGTGGACGGTTTGTAGCGTGATGAAGAGGAAGGTGATAAACGAGACAGAGACCCAGACGAAGGTGTACGAGACTCATGATTGCTCCTCGCTCTGTGTCCTCGACAGGAAGACAGTGCTCTGAGCCAGGATGTGCAGGAGTGCATCCAGTTCTTCGACGACACCATCGTCTCATTGGAGGAGAGCCTGAATCAAGACGACCGGAATCCCAGGCAGGGGAAACCCAGCAGACCGCTCTCTCCCAACCAGGATATCATAGACCTCGTCCGCCCTGGACCAGACTTGGTGCAGACGAGAGAGCCGGTCAATCCCACCAGTCCAGGTAGCGTAACGCCAGAATTCTAGATATGAGAAGGAAATATCCCCCAAGACACAACAACCCCAACAGTCACAATATTTTATATTTTGTTCAGATGCTTACATGCTAAGTCTTCAACTTCACGCAGGTTACTAAAACTAAAACATCACTTAAAGGGTCATAATTAAAGTTGAAGCTACAAATGAAGCTTGCAGTAATTATCAGATTCTCACTTTGCTTTTTGTTCCTCCCCCAGATTTCCAGAGTATTGTGGGACACACTGAGAGCCACTTCGAGTTGAAGCCCTGGCGCGATCAGATGGACAGCTTGCCTTCAGAGTACAACCCTCCCCTACCAAGTGGCAGCTATGGGTCAACAGATAGCCACACCTCCTACCACCCTCCGGGGTGTATTCCCACTCCAGTCCTGATTGCGCAACAGATAGCAGAGAACCAGGCAGGTGGAACCTCCAACCTCCATCCCTCCTCGCTCCGCCAACGCAGCAGTGACGCCGACAAGCCACCGAGTCTCAACTCAGATCAACCAGTGAAACAGGGTCCTCCTACCTCTGCTAAGCCTTCCCGCTTCCCTGCTAACATCAACGTGATCCTCGGCACCAAGGAGCACCAGAACCAGTCTCTGGCTAACGTGAACATTCATGAGAGACGGGCACAAATGCTTGCAAACCTCACGGGAACTTCACATCCTTTGCTACAGGAAGATCCTGAGCAGACCACGGAGCAGAAGGCTCGAAACACTCCAACCCGCAGCGTTTCCTTCAGGGATCCGACACCAAACATATCCAGGATGGAGGCTCTGTCCAAGCTGGGCCTTACCAGGAACCGAGCCATGTCTGGGGGCACGTCGCAGCTTCCTAACAGCACCTTACTGGACATTCCCACAGGTGCAGAGACCAGCGCCAAACCTCTGGAGGCCAGTGTTTCCCCAGTAACAGAAACCACCGTCAAATTACCAGAAGCCAACCCTGCAACACCTCAGAGCCGGAGTTATGTTGACAGAAAAGCTGAGATTCTGCGCACACCGTCCCTCAAGAGCCCGGAGGAAAGACATTCCCATCCGAGCCCCTCACCTCCAGCAGTCACACGTCGCAGTTTCTCTCCACTCCCTCTGGACAATAAAGCATCTGTCGCCCCTCCGCCTGAGATCACCTCGCTGGAATTTAACAGCTATGGAGGGAAATCTATGGTGGTCAACCCTTCTGTTTCCTCCAAAAGTGAACCTGTATCCTCTCCAACGAGGCTTGAACCCAAAACCCTCCCACCTGTGCTGGCTAACCCCAGCGAGTTCAACACCTATGGGGGAAAGACCAAAGTCATGAACCCTGCTCCTATGGCCGTGACCAGGAACAACCTTCCCGACATTCTCAGCTCCCACATCACCAAGAGTCAAACATTGCCCGCCAAATCAGAGCCGCAGCCCATTGAGCCGAACAGTTACGGAGGAAAGAGCCGAACCATCAACGCTTCCGCCGGCTTAAATCGGCCTTCAGGAATCCCACCAAGGAGCGTCAAGCCTCCAGCGCCGACTCCAGCCCCGAGACCACCTCGCCACTCCTACAGCGGCCCTGCCACTCAACAGAAAGCGGCACAACATGCCCCGACCCCCGAGCACAAGCGAAGACCCGGCTCACAGTTTCGTCCCCAGGGAATCACAGTGCAGTTCGCTGGAAAAGGAACTTCTGACGAATCCCGCAAGGAGGCGTTGAGGAAGCTGGGGCTGATGAAAGAGTCTTGATGAACTCGAGTCTGGACCTCTGGAGTGCACCTGCGGGTGGAGGTGATTCTCTTTAAGTTGCTCCACGTGTGACTTGAGTTTGAGGTGTGGTTGGTTCGTTTGGAGAGAGACATACTTTTACAGAGGAGCTGAAACTTACGATAGACCTGCACAACCAGTTCCAACGCCGAACACGTTTGGCACCGTGCAGCATCTGTGCAATCGACGCTCTTCAAGTGATTTATTTTGCCTCCAGGCAAAGACATCATATACGTCTGCACTTTAGTTTGGGTCAGAGTGAAGAGAAGCAACGGAAGATACTTCAACTCCAGTCTCACCTTTGTTTGCGACAAAGAATCTAATTGTGAAATTTCTGATTTTTTTTTTTTTTTTCATGCTGGGCCTCATTTCCTCAAAACATCTTAATTTCTTTTTTATCCCAGAGTTAGGAAATGTCTCCTCGAGGTCTTTAGAGGATGTCAATCTTTAGAAACACTTTGTGTGAATAAGAGAACCTCAGTTATCTCCTGAACAGTTTACAGACGGAAGGAAATAGAGGTTGCTCCAGCCCCCTCTTACTTTTAATCCGGCCCTGGTAAAAACCTATTTTTTAGTTAGTAGTGGAAAAAATTAAGACAAACTGTAAATGAGCAACTAATGATGCAAAATGAAAAAATATTGAAATCTTTCGAGCCCTTTATCGAACATTTGACACTTTTCTGTTTTAACTGGTTTGTTTGCCGACTTTGGGCATTTTATTCAGCGGTGGGAGTTTTTCTTCTGTCTGGGGTTTTCGGGCTAGAAGAAAGTCGACGGCACTTTTCTCAAGAGGATCATCTAGATTAGTTCTGAAAAGACCGAAACTACATCGTAAACGTTCCAGACCTTCGTGGAGCTGAGCTGGAGGATATTTTTACTCTGTGGACAAACCTCCCACACCAAACCACAGACTGTGGAATGGGTTTGTGGGTTTGACTCTTACTTTTTTTTCACTGAGTACTTTTAAATCGGCTCTTTAGGGTCGGGCGAGCACATCGTATTGTACAAAACACAAGCACTCAAACCACAGAGTCTAGAAATACATCCTGGTTTACTGATGTGTTTTCGTTCCTGTCGAGCTCTTCTCGACAACTTGGCTGTTTCAGACATTTGACTTTTTCCAAGTGTGTTATTTAACTGTTGTAGCTGCAAAAGCATGAGTGTGTGTGTATGTGTGTGTGTGTGTGTGTGAGAGACAGTGTGTAAGTTTACAATGTTTAATCCAGACTCCGGCCTCTGTAGTTCCCCTACAGTTACTTTTGAAGTTAATATCACAGAAGTTTTTCTGTGTGAATAGTTGAAGTGAATTTTGCTCACAGACTCCGGTTCGCTGTAGTACATCTACAGTCTTTTTGAAGTATCTCATGGTGCATACATGCAGTAAATAACTACATTATGAGGAAATGTTTCTAAGAGTCTGCACAGAACAAAGGTTTTTACAATCAGTGCATCTATGTTTGGTGAACGGGAAGATCAGCGTCGACTTTCTGACTTTTGAAATGTCCACATTATATATAAATATATGAATATGCTCTAATCTTAATATATGTAAAGTTGAATTATTGTCGATCATTAAACGAAACAGTAAAACGTCTTCCTGCTGTTTTTCTTTTATTAAGTCTGGTGTGTGAAAGATAAAAGTTAAAATCCTTCTTCTCACAAACTTGGAAATAAATTACTAAATAAGTCAGATTTTAAAAATGTGTTCAGTCACAGAACCGATGATGGAGCAACAATTTCTGTGTAATAATAGTAATAACAAGTTTTTCCTTGTGTTGCTCCTTTAATCGTAAACTGTGTCACAGGTAAGTTACGTGAAGGTTTGTTGTTCTGACCTTCACGATTCACACTGAACCTCTTGTGCGTCGAGCACAGAGCTGAACTGTCGGGACTGCAGACTGTGACATAAGACTTCAACACAGGAGGTTTCTTCACCAGAGAACGCTGCTGCACTGAGGCCGACTGTGCTTGTGTCTCTGTGAGGATTTAAAACGCACCAAATGGACCAATCCTCTTAAACCAGTAACAATTGTTTAAATTACCAACATAAAATAAATAAACTATAAACATTTCTTTTTTTCCGAGGCCTTTTCCTTGGTCTGTTAAAACAGATTAGACACGTTGATGTATTTATGATAAATAATAGTAATTAGTAACTCAATGAATATTTCAGCTGGTTGGTTTTAGAAACAATGAAACCTGTTGTGCAATGGAGGCCAAACAATAAATCTTTACCTGCGAGGCCCCTTTATGATTTAAATGCTCAGAAGTATTTATATGAGCGACCGAGGGAAGGAAGTGAGGAAATACTTACATTTGCTGCCTTGTAATTAAGACGTTGACAAACAGGCGCACCCTCTCCACACATGCACACGCCACAAACACACGAGTTCTGAAAATCAAACAGGAATCATCTCCATATATTTATTGTGATCACTTGTGTCAGTCGTGAACCGGAACACAAAGCCGTGAGCTGCTGCTGCTGCTGCTGTTGTTTTCTCGCAGGAAAAGAACAACGGATTTGAATCTAGACACAGAAGAACTAAATCAGAGCCACCGCCGGACGCTTCACTACAAGAGTCACAGAGCTGGAACAGCCTCATGCAGCAGAACACACAGGATATTTCTCCATCTATAGGCTCAACAGGTAAAATTCATCTAAAAGAATAAAGTCACTGTCGTCACTGTGGAAGACTCCCAGGCAAACGCTTATCCCAAAAAAAAAAAAAAAGGGTTTTACCACGTTACACAAATCAAACAAAAAAATCAAACAAACTCTTAGATGCTCCTGAATCCGGAGGAGAAGAAAAAAAACATCTAGCGAGACAGGAGGTGGAGAAAATGGAGACTATGTACACTCAGGTGTCCGGTCAGTGAGCAGGTTCACTGGACGCCGTCACGTCTCCAGATCTTCCAGGTGTTTGGATGATGCCGAGATCGGGAAAAAGCGTCCGATGGCGTGAGACTCTTGTTCTGGTGGCGTGCGTTGACTCAGAGCTGATTGTTCGTACGGAGCTGACGTTACTGAGAAGAACAACGCCGCTCACGTTTTATTTCCGCAACAAACCATCAGTGGATTAATTGATTAAATAAACTGCAGATTAATCGATGGTCAAAAATTCATCTCATCGTTCTCTGTCTCCTCCCCAAAACTAAAATCCATTAAATCAGGAGTTCAAGATGTTCAGGCTGTTAAGTGCTGGTGAAAATGTAAACCTGCAACCGTTCGTTGATCAGTCAAATGAATTTATGTTCCTGGACATAAATGTGTAATTGTGGAAGAAAAATAATCTTCTTCTGTTTTAATCGTTGAAGTAAATTTTCTGTAAAAAACCAAAGCTGCAGGTTCCATCTTCTCAAATAAGTTGTGCTGCTGTTCTCCATCATATTTTACAGCTGACGTGATGTTTTGAGGTTTTAATCATTAAAGCAGTTTTAACTCCAAGTGATTTCTCAACAAAACAATCAGCAGATGAATCATTTAAATTTCCAGCTCGAGTGTCGTACGACTGAATCAACACACGCCTCTACAACAAGACCTCCATTCATTTGTCTGTGTACAACACATCAACGTCTTCCTCTGCGTCACTGTGCGAACTGTCTGTGAACGCGCCGCCAGAGTTCAAACCTCGCCATCCCGTCCTGCGTCTCCGTCGCAGTGCTGCCTCCGACAGTTTGTCAAAAGAGTCAGACCAAACAAACGTGTTCCCGGGTCCGAAAAAACAAATAAGGACGAAAAAAGAAAATAAAAAAAATCAGTATCCTTTTCTTGTATCGTGTAAATTTCGCAGGTTTTAAACTCGTTAGCATGAGTCACGGTTTCCTCCAACTGTGGTGACGGCGGGTGTTGATCCTTTTGTCCCGCTTTCCTGTCCCGTCTCGCCATCTGTCGCACGGTCAGGTGTTCGGTCGTCGTCGTCGTCGTTGGTCCGGACAGAACAGTGGTGGAATTTTTTTGTCATCTCAGGCAACAGACAAAAAAAGGAAAAGAGAGACTTTCTGACCCTCGACCTCTGACCCCAGGCTCCTGGGTGTGTCTCTCCTCCTCAGGCTGCGGGTGTGTGTGTTCGGGGTCAGCGGTGTGGTCTGTCCCGGCATCATCAGTGGGCGTCTGGAGGACTCGTTCCCCATCTTCGACCGGTTTCCCCTCCGATCTTCTCTTTCTCTCTCGCACGCTTATTCACTTGCTCTCTTGCTCGCTCAGCCTGGGCCCAGACTCCTATCAGCGTCTCCTAGGGGACAGAGCAGGACATTGACTGTAGTGGAGCTGAACCATAGGAACACGTGTGCATGACGTCTGTGTCACGGATTCAAATAAGTGTCCAAGCAAAAGTTCAGATTCGTGTGTAAATTTTAACTGAAGACAAATAAACCTGAATAAGACACAAGATGATGTCACTGTTTATGTGTAAACTTCAAGTCAACTTTATTCTTTTAAAGAAATTAAAAAAAAGAAAACTGAAAATCTGAATCAGTTAAAAGTGCAAACTGTTTATTTATTTCTCGATGATTTGTGCTGAAGCTTCCTCTCTGGTGAAAACGTCTCCTGCTGCTCTAACTCCGTCACACATTCTTCTTCTCTCTCACTTGTCTTTCCTGTCTCGTCTCACTTGCCTTTTTGCTGCTCTTTTCTCTCTTTTCACACCAAATTCTTTCTGTTCAAAGAAAACGTCAACGAGGGGGGAGTCAGTACATGATGAAGACCAGGAGCCCTGATCCAACACAGTCAGCGCTTCAGATTTTAAGTGTGAGCGACGATGGCGGTAGTGGATCACGGCTCACCTTCCTCCTGTCTTGAAGATGAGGTCGGCGTTGGGAGCGCCTTTCGGGTGCTGGTAGCGAGGCCGACGCTCCCGGTTGGTGTTGGCCTGAGCCGGACGCTGGGCCAGGGACTGCATCATCTCTGTTGAAACACACACACAAAGATATATGTTTTTATAATATAAATATCTCAGTAAATGATGAAAGCAAAGCCAACGTAAATAAAGAGTGTGTGATGCGCCACTCAGGACAATTATCCAGATGGGAGGTGAAAACCTAACTATATATATGTTAAAAAAACATTCCACTCTGTGACTCGGTCTCTGTGTCGTACCCTGGTAGTCCTCCTGCTCCTGTCTCTCGTTGATGTCCAGGGTGAGTTTCTTCATCCTCATGCGCTCCTCCTGCTCGGCCTGCTGCTGGTTGAAGTGGTTCGCCGCCAGGTGTGATGACAGCGGCACGTTCAGGATCTTATACTGTCGACACGAAACAAACGTGAGACAAAGAAACTGGTTTGGCTCCACTCGTTTGGGAAACAGATTTCTCAGAGTCACAAAATCCATCCTCCCAGCTACGGGTCCAGGTCCAGGTACACACATACACACACACACACACACGCATGCACGCACGCACACACACACACAGAAAGTCTTTATTCTGGTGAGGCCGTGTGTGTTTACATAAAGAGAAAAGTAATTTCCCATCCACGCGCCTCACTGACACACCGACAAAGATATTCTGTGTTCTCTCCAAAATTCATATGAATGTATGATTTCTTTTTTGGCGTGTGTGTGTGTGTGTGTGTGTGTGTGTGTGTGTGTGTGTGTGTGTGTGTGTGTGTGTGTGTGTGTCTGTCTCTGGCATCTGTCCTCAAAACAGAGAGAGGCCGTGTGGACAGAACGCTCCATTAAACCTCAAAACGCTGGACACACCCTACAGTACAAGAACCAGTCTCTGCCCTCAAACCACACAACTACGCACGCGCACACACACACACACACACACACACACACACACACTCGTTTGACCTTCCCTAGTATTACTAGTAATAATACTAATAAGTTTGAGGAGAAATCAGTGAAATCATAGTTTTACACAGAGCTGTGGAGACGAGAGACTGTTGCAGGTTTAAAACTCTGAAATACTGAGGCCTCACATTCACACACACACACACACACACACAAACACACACACACAAACACACACACACACCCGAGTCAATATTATTCCTGGGCTCAGCGAGACTGAGCTCTGTGTGTGTGTGTGTGTGTGTGTGTGTGTGTGTGTGTGTGTGTGTGTGTGTGTGTGTGTGTGTGTGTATTGAATTTCAGTGGAAGTGTGTCAGTCCTCGTTCCTCGTGTCTGTTTGCTCTCAGCTGGTCGTCTACACACTCAGAATAAAACTGCTCTACAGTTCTGATCCTGGACGTCACTAAAGCCGCACACACGTGGTTAAACTTCAGGAAAACGAAACTTTGTCCTCACAACCTTAACCTCCCCCTGTACGTCGTTATAAAGACTTTAAAGATATTTCCTTTTTGTCCAGAAATAAAACTTCCGCCCTTCGTGACCTTCACCTGCTGCTTGTTGCCCTTGCGTGTCAGCATCACGAACTGCATGGTGTCCGAGATGTCCGACTCTCCCTCTGCGATGCACGGCTGTCCCGTGCTGCCCTTCTTCAGCTGACTCTTCAGCTGCAGAGGAATGGCCACGTCCAGCTGGTGCACCTTCACCGCCTCGCCGCTACGCTGCTGCAGTGACGACACACACACACACACACACACACACACACACAAACACAACACACACACGTGTCAGGGGACGTTTTTAACTT